TTTAGTGAGTCATAAAACCCTCTTAAAAATTAATCTTTCACGCACATCCAGCTTATCCAAAGTTAGCATTTAATTAGATGGCCTTGGCGCAAGTGAGCCTACTGCTTTATTTGCTCAATCAGGATATGCCTCTCCAGTAATTAGAATTAATTCAAGCCATTGACTCACACCTCCTAACAAACAGTATAAAACATTAGGGGAAACAGAAATAAATGGAGGGGCGGTTTTTTCCCCCTCCTCCCCTTTCCCAAATCTTCTCCACAAAACAAAACGTCACACCCTTACTTTTAGAAGACACAAGAAAATGTCTTTCTCTTTAAAAGGAAGAAGCATGGACTTCATGCATGTATTTTTTTTTTTTACTGATAGACAAGAATGTTGAAGTCAGGGTTGAAATGATGGGTCCTTGGTGATCTCTGAGCTTGGTGGTTTTCTTGCGGATGTTTCATGACCCAACTAGGTAACATCATCAGTGCTAGAAGGGTGTGTGGAGAGGAGGAGGAGGAGGAGGAGGAGGACTGTGGGGTCCTTGGTGCTCTCTGAGCTTGGTGGTTTTCTTGCAGACGTTTCATGACCCAACTAGGTAACATCATCCGTGCTAGTAAGTGTGACTTGCTCCCTATTTCTCTACAGTAGCTCTGAACTTGGTGATTTTCTTGCGGACGTTTCATTTCCTAACTAGATAAATGCCATAGTATACATTGATATTGGCTCCTAAGAAATCTGAATGGGACCAAAATAAAAAACAGAATGAAATTCTATGCTGGTTTTCAATTACTTTAAAATATGGAGGTCAGCCAATTTTTCAAGTAGCAGGTATATAATAAATACAGACAACGCCCCCCTCAATTATTTTTATACATTTTATATATTTAACAAAGTGGTTGTTTTTTTTTCAAACGGACACATTTCAACTCTTATAGATTTTAGAGTTTCATTTGAAAGATTATTTTCCCAAAGTATAAGTCAAAGTATTAGGGTTCTGTTTTTTCATGAAGGAACGATGACCGACAGACTCAGTTTATAATGCAAAAGATTTAGGGTGATGAATAAGGGTCAAGAATAAGCTTGAAAT